AGCCAAAAACGGCTCCTGGGCCGCTGGCTACGGGATCTGGAACACCGCCATCCAATCCGCCATCAGAGTGAACCACTGGAAACTACTGACGGGAAACCCGGGATACAGCGACTGGGTGCCTCCACAGGCCTTCAGCAACGCGGGCCCCAACCGCTGGCACAACGAGCGCGTCTCCTGGTCCGCCGGCAAAACCGTGTGGCTCTTCAACATCACTGCCGACCCCTACGAGCGGGTGGACCTCTCTGCCAGGTACCCAGACGTGGTGAAACAGCTCTTGCGGAGGCTCTCGCAGTTTAATAAGACCGCGGTTCCAGTCCGCTACCCACCGAAGGACCCCCGGAGTAACCCCAAGCTGAACGGAGGAGTCTGGGGGCCGTGGTTTAAGGAGGACGAAAAGAAAAAGAAGTCAGATAAAAGCAAAGGTGCGAATAAGCAGAAGAAGAACAAGAACAAGAAGAAAGCAAACAGAAAAAAGGTGCAATCGTTCCCTTGCCGGTCACGTCTTGCTGGTGGGTAGACTCTGAGCACCCTCTTTGGCCGAGTCTGAGTCGGCTTGGACCAACAGACTTGAATTTCTGACGGAATAGACTAGAAATGCTAGTTCTGCACTATGGATGAAAGTTGTTGTCTTTGAATTTTTTATTCTGATTTCACCAGCACAAGGTATCTCAACACTCTGAGTGTCCACATGACAGACTTTCTCCTCCACAGGATGAATGGTCCTCAGCCATCACTGCCACATTCCAGAAAACAACAGCGATAACACCTCATTTCAGGAAACTCAGCTTTGATGGACAAATGGTGCTTCCTTGCCTTAACTAGTAGGAATCTTTGGAGAGGATGGAGATGTTAATGGCAGATGTCCTCAAAATGAGAGGTGATTCAGAAAGAGAAAGGAAAAACAAAACCTGAGAACCTCTGTGGGTCAGTAAGTGTTAGTCAGCAACCTATGACGTTTTTTCATACAACACAGCAAAAATATGAAGCCGTCAGGGTAACTTCTTAGAGGTATGATAGGAGGAAAGCTGCTTTGAATTAGATTTTGTCTGTTTTAAATAAATCTGAAACATTTTTAACATTTCCTAGATGTGCTAAGCTCCCCCCATTTGCAGTAAAACACATGACCAGCTAGCACACACCACATATAATTTATTATAGGCATAGACAAAAACACATCGCCAAAGTGAATGTAACTATTTAAACACTTTAACGTAACTATACAACAATATGTAAAAGACATAATTTATTTTACAGCACAATCCTTATTTCTCTCCCGTTAAAACTTCCTGGCTGTTGCAAAGTACCCCTTTGAGTGCCAGGGTTCTTTGGGGGGTTTTAACTTTGCTTTTTTACTTTGATTTCCACCCTGTCATTCAGAGTTTTATTTAACAGATCCATATCCTCAGAGTACTGTAAACCAAGGAAATACTGTATACACTGCTAGGATGAGGAAGGAGAACGATTCAGGTGCGTCATTGCATTGTGTATTTGCCTCCAGTGGTTTTTGAATGTAACAAAGGGTTTATTTAATTTAGGAGTCATGTGAATGCTGTTCAGTTGCTGTACAGAAGCTAGGCCATCTTGCTGTTCGGGGGGAAAATTCTACTTTAAACCTTTTATTTATGTACCTATTAAAATAGTTTATTTTTATGGCATTCATAAAAGTAGTCTGCCTCTTTTTTGCACCCAAGATGACAATTCTGGCCTAATTTATTTTAAACAAACTCAAGTGAGATTTTTTTTTTTTATTACCATTATTTTTGGTGCAGGAATGTTTTATGACATTTTGCTTCTGAAACAGAATTTCTTCCTTCAGTATGTTTATCATTTGAGACATGCTTCAAACTTTGCCCTTTTCCAAGGTGTCTGCACGGATGATGGATGCACGGACTGGCTGCACATTCTTGGTGATCTGGGGTAATTGATACAATACATACACACATATGAGTTTCAAGATGAATTATGTTAAGTAAAATTGATGGTTCATTTGTTGCATAGCTATAACATATTTTGGTAGAATTTCAAATAAGCTGCTTTTCAACGATGCCTCACTTGACTCAGAAATCACATTTATATTGATGGATTACTGTTGAAACATTCCTAAAATCAGTGCATGCAGAAATCTGAATGATGTCCAACGCTCCAACACCTCCTGACCTTTTTAAAAGGGAACTAACTGCAGGTATGTTCTGCCAAACCCCAACAAATTGCATATTTTCAGCTATAAAGCAGCATAAAACTGTCATTAACAAAAACATAGACACAAGTCAGTCAGATTTTGGAGTTACTTCTGTAATGAATATACTGGGGAGAACACAGAAATGAACTTCTTGAATTGTTATATATAAATAATGATTATAAAGAGATGATGTCTATCTGCCTAAGTGTTTAATATTGTCACTTATTTTTCATACTGTGTGGCCCTTCAGAAGACGAATTAATTTCTTAGAAATCTGTCTAGTTTTACTTCAGATCCAGACTATTCAATGAGTAATCAGGAACTCAGATGTTCTCTAATTTCTCTTTTTTTTTTTCTTTTTTAATATACCAGTGATGTCCTTAAAAGAAATGAGAATAATGTCTTGAGATATTATACTGGAAAACGTGATGTATAAAATTCATGCCTGTGAGAAAATGCACTTCATTTTCCAAGGTCATTTTAAAAAGACTAGAATTAAGTGTGTAAACTAAGCTATATATAGAGGTGGACTGAGATATTTTAATTTACTTTGGCATAATAGCAACAAGGCAGCGTGATAAAGTGTTACCCTCATAGAATCAATTATTACCCTTTCCCATGAAAGTTTTATGGTGGCTTTGGCTTTTATTGGACCAAAGCAACCAGAGAGCATTATTCTCTGACAGTATTTTATTCTATAATTATTTATATCTGTTCTCTCTCAGGCAAAATGGGAGTCCTTGAAAGTAAGCGGTGCAAGGCAGAACAGTGGATCAGTTCTCTATATATTTAATAAATGTGCCACAAGAGTAAGGTTTGTAGAGTACATAAGAGGAGTACATTCCTCTTGAATTTGATACTTTGATGCAGTATAGGGCAAAAGCTGGGTTTAGAGGGGGTTAGAAAATACCCACGATTTGGAAACTTTCTTGAATATTTTGCTGAAAAGCTCCTGATGTAAAAAATGCTGTGTCTGCTCTTGTTTTTTTCACTGCAGCAATACAGAGGTCTCCAGTTTTTGGTGATGCTGTGTAGCTCTCAAGCCTGGTTTTTTGTTTGACAGAGCTGTAAGTAGCTCCTACGCTCTCATGGCAAGATTCCATGGGTTGTTTATGTCTGCAGATGTGTTACGTGCCCAACCTGAGGGAAGGTTTGATAGGTAAACACTGAAAAAGAGATCTCAAAAAAGACTGGAGGCGGGAGCAAAGCGGGGAAGATTTAGTGATGATTTTTAAGTTGTGTCAAGCCTTCTCCACATGCCCTCTGGGCATGGTCAGATGCTAACTCTGATCCTGTCATAGTGACAGCCACACCTTCGGGAGGACCAGCCTGAGCAGGAAGACAATATTTCTTCCTTGTTTTTTCTCAATTTTATTTTAAACCTCTTCTGAATTAATTTTCTAATGGTAAGATAATTTTATCATCACCAACTACTTTTAAAATCTTGTTATCAACAACTTAATTATTATTGTTACTATTATTGATATTATTATTATTGTCATGTGGTTGTTATTATTTAGTTTGACATAAAGTTGGAGGCAAAGCACTCTCCTGACTAAAGACCAGCAGAATGCAGTGCCAGGAGTGGTGAGTAAATCAGAACTGGCAGGTTTTGTGTGGATCATGCTGTGAGATATTAGGGAATGTCCATGTAGTTGTGAAGCTCAGTCATGGAATACGAGTTACCCTAACTGATGGAATTATTAGTCTGAGACATCCCAAAGGTTCCTCCACTTGCTGAGGACACGAGGCTTTTTGGAAAGAGAGCTAGACCACTAAATCCAGCTACTTTCTGTTTCCCACTGGAAGGAACGGGCACTGATTGCATTTCAAGCCAATGGCAGGGGACTCACATTTCTATCCCTGCAAGATTCTACATAATGGTTTATCCATGATACTGTCTAGACAACATTGAAATTTGGGAGTTTTTTGTGATCACACTGCACAGAATAAGCTGCTTTTTCATTCTCTCTGTTTCACGTGCTCCACGTTCAGCAACAACCATTGACACTCTTACCCAGCCCCCGCGCTGCGGTGCCCCGGGGAGTTTAAGGGAAAGTTGGTTGATTCACACTGGGTGAGAGAAACCACAAAAGTCTCAGGGGGTTTCAATACCAAACTTTTACTTGTAACCTTCAGAATGTTACAGTAGAATAAGGTACTTGGTGAATTTTAAAACAACGTCCAGACAAAGTATTCAAAAACTTCACAACTTAAAACTTCATAAACTTTAACTTAGCAAACTTTAACTTATCTGGATACAACAAGGCACGCACTAAGGCATTGACTGGAATTTTTACTCTGGCTTACAATATAGTTATATATCTTCCATTTTGGGGCAGGCCGTGGATCAAGCTGCCATTTAGGGTCATTTGTTGGATCACTCTGCCATTTGTTGACAGACCATGGGCTGAGTCCACCATTTTGTGACAACCCACAGGTTTGTCCGCCATTTTCTCATAGCCCATGAGTTCGTCTGCCATTTTGTGAGAGGCCATGGGGGCAGTCTGCCATTTTGTAACAGGTTGTGGGGGCAGTCTGCTATTTTGGAGCAGGCCATGGGCTCACTCTGCCATTTTAGGGCAGACCTCGGGTCACTCTGCCATTTTGTGACAGGCCGCAGGTCATGGGCTCACTCCGCCATTTTGGGGCAGGTCATGGGCTCACTCCGCCATTTTGGGGTAGGTCATGGGCTCACTCAGCCATTTTGGGGCAGGTCATGGATCAGTCCGCCATTTTGGGGCAGGT